TCCTGACCCTTACTTTACACCACATGTGAGGAAAGAGTTTAGTATTAATTCTACAATGATGTGTGTCTTTTATTTTAAAACTACCATACTTATTGTCATTTAGGTAATTAGATTTATCTTCATCTATTTGTTTTTATTTTGCAGTCGAAAGATTCACTGCAAAGCCATGTCTGATTATGGTGATTTTCTTTAAGATTTTGGACATTGTTCCCTTTTTCATTTCAGTTGCATCGCAATTGTTTCTTCATCCTTTCTTCAATGCTTCTCTTTTATGGGTCCCTTCATTTTGTGTTAGATATTTTAAATTCATTTTAGAAAGTCAATGAATAAGTCAATCACTGAAGCAAGTTAAACTTCTCTAGAAATTTTTAAAGTCTGATTGAATTGTCAAAAAGAATTATAACTCATGCAGTCATTCTAGTGATTATATTTTGATAAAATTATAGCTGTCCAACATCATATTACTAATACATATTACAAGTATAAATATTACATGGAATGTACTTTAGATGTTAACATGTGTCAGGATTAAAAATAAGTTCCCTTTCCATAAGGAATCTATGCTTAATAAACTTCATGTAATATATATCCAGGGGAAAAACTATTTAATTTCTCTTTAGGAAAAAATCCCTGAATGGTGAAATAACTTGCTCAAATGAAAGGAATATGTAGAAGAGAAGAAATAATTCTTCAAAAGTGTGAAGTGCAATGAAGACACAAAGTGTGTGAGTTATTGTAAACACCGGCCTGTTAGTTATCCCACCTATCCGCAGCGGAGCCCAGTTCTGCCACTTGGTGACTGGGATCTTGGGCAAGATATTTAACCTTCCTTAACGGTTTCATATTTGAAATAGGATAACAGTATCTAGCTCACACAGGTTTGACTTTGAACAGAACTGAAGGTATAGCTGACATAAATTTACTTGCAGAGTATAATTTTTCTAAATTTTAATATTATATTGAATGTTGAATTTTGAGATGCCGAAGGAAATAAACTTGGGCATGTACTGTCAGCAAGCGCACAGAATGCGGAGTGGCTAATTGAGGACAGCAGGCGAAGACACTGAATAACGCGGGGCAATGAGGAGCTGGGCACTGCGGGCAGCAGTCAGCGGCGGTGAGAACCTGCCAGCTGCAACCTCCGAAACTGCAGACTGTAGCGGCCGCTGCTGTTCTGCAAAGCTCAGCGCTGCCGGACTCTGAGCTCGCATTCCCCCAACACACGTGCCCATCAAGTGCAGGGTAGCCCTGACAGAGCCAGGGACACCCTCAGAATAGCAGTGCAATGACTTCTGCACGTCAGAGGATGATTTCAGACCTTGAATCTTGTACTTTTCTACATTAATACACTTTTTTTCTCAGATCCCTGTATTGGGGCAATCTCACACACAGTGGATTCCTGGAGTATTTTATCTGATACAAGATGCCCAGAGCAGACTTTGATCCAAAATGTAAGTTCAGCAGCCAAAACTAGCGTACGATATAGATAGATGGTGAAGTCTACATTTTTCTCTCCCCTCTCTGGCTCGGCTGCCGGTGTCTACAGGGGTCCCGTCATCTTGGTAAAGGTGCACTTCGTCAGCAAAATCAAACCGAACCGTGTGCTGCAGGGCACGTTTCCAGCTCTGTTGCTGGTTCTGTTGCTACTCGTGTCTGTTGGTACTTGGCGACTGACTTCCTTGGTGATCAGAAGCACTATGTCCGTATGCAAGTCAGAAACCATTTTCAATATTTAATGTTACCGCATCCCATCCATGCTAGAAGTCTACCATTTCTTCTAGTAATACCATTTTGTTACAGGAAAAGGAGTGGAACATGCAAATATGCCCTTTATGTCAACAACACCCTGTTTCTCATAGGAATTTTGTATCACTTAGATTAGAACTATATGGATGATGATTAATGGTCAACCAGCAAATTAAGATTCAGTAAAGACATAATGCCAGCCTAAATTCACACATTAGCTAGGAAAAGCCCAAGTCAATAATTTATTAAACAATCAAAAGGTTCTATTTTACTTGATTGTGAGAGATGTAGAGGCAGGCAAATATGTAAAATTAAAAATGCTGGAGAAAAATAAATCACTTTTTGAAAATGATTAAAGTGCAGAAGCAAATTTACCATCACACCTTAATCTGCTAACTCTGAAACAAGAGTTATTTTGGGCTGAATTTGTTACATAGCTCATGCATGAAATGATCTGTTGCTTGTTCTTGTGAAGCTGTTTTCACACTATGAAATAGCAGAGGGGGAAAATGTATTCCGTCTGAGGCATTGTAAAAATATTGAAAATCCTGACTGAAGCTTTTGTAGAGATATCTAACCACAGCCTTGTCATGTACACTTTGCAGACCAATAATTATTACCCCAGAATCACAGATGGTTTACTTTCACAGTTACCTCAATTCATAATGGCTTCAGAAACTCCATTCTGACGCCTTGAGATCACCACTCATGTGATCACACTGCCACCTTGTGGTTGTAAAGGTGTCATTCAATTAAAACCTCAACAGCTTGTGGAGAGAAAAACAACAGATCCAAGTATTACTTACAGTTTTGTTTTTCATTCATCTTGCATTGCAGCATTACAGATAACATGTGGATTATTGCATTAGTAGGACAGAGGACAGCAATGTCAAGCTGACAGTATAGGTGACTAATTCTGTATAATTGCTCAGGACTCTGCTTCTGCTAACAAATATCGTCAAGACCTTGGTTGGGCTTGCTGTCTTCATTGAACTTTTCTGCATAAATCTATCATTCATAGCATCCAAAAGGATCTCAAAAAAATCTATAGTATCAGTAGACAAATGACTGTCAAATTGAGGTCCCCAGACCAGAGACCTAAGCTTTCCTAGGGAATTTATTAGAAATGCAAATTCTTCTACTCCACATCATGTACTGAACCAAAGTCTCTGGCAGCAAGAGCCTGAAACCCATGCTTGAGGAAGGTCTCCAGGTAATTCTGATACTTATTAACGTTTGAGAACCACAGCTATAGATAGGCACAATTCTCCAGAGGTAGATGAAGCACCTGCTCTATCCTATGTAAAAGGGCCCACGAAGGGGATGGATGGCAACGATTCCAGAGCTTTCTGTCATCTCAGGTGCCAGGACCCTGAGCCCCTCCCTGGAATAGAAGCAGAGCATCTGTGAGGACTCCAGGTCTCCTCAACTGTCAGCCACTGTGCCCACTCTCCTTTCTGCTTCAACTTTACCTGGAAGTATGGACAATCCCTTTTCAGGATTATTGAAACACGAATCACCTTAAAGGAGTTGTTATAAACTAAAGCTGTGAAAGACCTCTAAATCCTAGGACAAAGGAGGAGTAGGGGATAGAATGAGTCGGCACTGTGCTGCCTGAGCACCTCATGGCTACACTGCTTCCTCACTTGATCGTAGCCACAGCGGACGGCTGCCCTGTGTCACCGGGACTTGACATTTCTAATAGGAAAAACCAAAACTCTAAAGTTTCACGCGAAATATTCCATTTCTTAAAGTGTGAATTCAACTTTAAGTGAATGTTTAATTAAAAATAAAACCTTGAGCTTGATTCTGTCTACTGACCTCCTGATTACTGTTTCTAGGATAGACGGCTAATGAAAACTGTATCAACTTTGGTGTGCAATTATGAGAAAATGCAGTTCTCGTACTGAAGTGATTTGCATCCACGGGGTTCACCTAAGATATTTGAATTCAAAATTTACATTCCCAATGTGCCATGCTTTAAGAAAAAAATGAGTCGTATTTCCACTAATGCAAAATACACTCTCAGAACATTTGTAAAATCTTAGAAATTTCACACCATGCAATGAACAAAACTGCAGAGTCCATCGCAATCACATGTTCCTGTACTTAGGGACTAATAAATAATGTAAGATACTAAGCTCAGGAATATATTTAACCATGCATTTACAGAAAAATAGTACTTTAATTAGATAGGCAATGGGCACTCAGTACATAGCTCCTGAATTAATAGAGTAAGGTGTTACCAAGTGAATTTTCTTTGAGGCATAAGGTCTGCGGTCTGACCTCACTGATCCAAATGCCTCCAAGTTTAAGAAAGTGCTAACTTCTGGTATTGCAAACTCCATGGCTTCTGGAAGGACTTGAAGATTAAAATCAACTTTAGATGTATTCTGGATTTTTTTCTCTGTGGTTTCTTTACAAATCTAGTGAAATTACAATGCCTGCTCTGATTCTATGTTTTGGGGATAGAACTAATTCTGGGGTAGCGGCAGTGGCCACACTCAGCCAAATCTCATCCTGGGAGCCATGGGTTGGTGACTTTCCATCTCTCTGTGGCAGCAGACACTCTAGGGAAATGAGCTCTTCAGATGTGGCCAGACTCAGTGAGGAGAGGCTAGTGTACTGTCTCGTCCTGTAGCTTGTCATTGTGCGTAAGATTCTCTTTATGGAAGCCCTTTACTTCTTATGTATTTCTGACTTTCAAGAATACTTTGTTAAAATGTTTATACTCTTGTAAGTCTTAATATATGATGATTTCTTCATCCACCTAGCAAACATCAGGAATCTGACATTGAAAATATAAGCAGCCAAGTAGATACCGTGAGCACTTCTAAATAGTTCCAGGACCTGGAAGAGCCCAGGAACCAAAAAACAAAACGAACAATTGCATGACAATTAAGATGTAGAGAAAAAAAGACTCAGGGTCCACTGAAGAAAAACTATGAAATCTGTTCTGAGAACTCTAGAATGATAACACCAAGTATTTCGAGCCGGGAATCAATATTTAAATTGAGTATTCCAGGAGTGAGAGCATTTTCCAGGCAAATGAGAAAGGGATAAGATGTGAAGCTGGGGGAGCACGGTAGGGTGCTCCCTGTTAATAGACATACAGTCCAGGACCGGCGGTGGACTCCTGAAACAGCAGATGATAACAAACATCTGTATGTGTGTATTTAGAGTTTTTCCTATACATGCACACTGATAATAAAGTTTAAGTTATACTTAGTCACAGCAAGAGGTAACCAAACACAGCAAAACAATAACCAAAAATATAATGAAATGATTAGTATGATATGCTGTAATAAAAGTTGTTTTCAATGTATTATTTACTTATCTATTTTTTCATTTAATATTTTCAGGCTAACATTGACTGTAGATAGCTAAAACTACACAAAGCAAAACTTTCAGATAAAACAAGACCTTTCAGAATTACTTGTAATGAAAGTATTTGTCAATCACTGTATTTTTTTTAAGCCTAACACAAGGTCCCTACAATGAAATCAATAAACATTCTCTGAATTCAAGAAAAATGAGTGAAAGAATAATTTGTATGTATGTAAGGCAGTGTAAGTCACAGGAGTTGGATGACTACAAAATTTGTTAGAGACAAAAATCTGAATATAAATTGTTTTAAAGATAAATTTTATTTTGTAGAGTTATCTCTTGTAACAGGATTCTCCTACATTAGGATTTGCTGGGATATTTTATTTTTTAGAAAATGAAGATTGCTGGGTCTTTTGGGTTTGAGGCAAGGAATCAACAGCTTTTCTAATCTAAGGGAAATACTGCTAAAAGCTATGCCCGGTCCTTAAAATCTTTTTAAACTTCTTTGGAGTGCTCGGTATCTTGGAGGATCTGTCAAAAGCTGTAAATGTTCTTAGGCAATTGTACACACATGATCAGTTTTGCTAAAAATTCCAGGAAAATCACAAACCCTTGTGACTGACTCATTGTCTCAGGTCACTGTCAACTAACTTACAGAAAGACAGTAAGAATCATTGTTACTAAGACATAGCCAGAAAGACTAAGTGAACTGAACAATGTAGTTTCTTCTAGGCAACTTTGTCTAGAATCTACCCAGTCTTACCCTGTCAATGTTTACTACAAAAAAGACATCTTCCATTTGAAAGAATTTATGTTGTGGTCCAAGATTTAATGGAAAACTGAAATGTTTCAAAAGGAAGGAAATGTTTCTTGAATATTTAGGAATCAATACTTTATTTCATCCTGTCTCAAATAACAGATGAAGTTGATGGTGTTCTAGAAAATTTATGAGTTAACTGTTTATCTGTTTATATACCTAATATTTCACAAAGTTAGATTACATCTAAAAATCTTGGTATCTTTCTGATAATCTAGCATTTACAAAAGACAAAATGGTTCCATTCTCACTAAAATTGAGAGCCTTGTCTGCAAAAAGCAACTAAAATGGTCTATTGCCGGAGATATGTCACATGGAACAAGATAAAGCCTATAAAAACAGTCCTTCAGGAAAGTCATGGCTGAACTCTAAGGACCTAGATTATTTAATGCAAACATTGTGTGTGACTTTGGAGATTGGGGTAGGCTTCCCTATAGTCATTTAAGCAAGCTTGTTTATGCAAAACCAATGTAGAAACAGAGTTCAAAACTACAATTTGCTTTCTTTGTACCTAGGGCAGAATCACTGAACTTCATCCAAAATTGGAGCAGAGTCAGAATCTGACTCTGTGGTGAGGGAGGGAGTACTTAACTCTGAGTGACAGAGTATGCTGCAGTACATGGAAATGCTTTATGAACTGCGGAGCATTACACAGTAAAGGAGCTCACAGCATAGTTCACAGCGCGTAATAGTGTTCTGTAAGCTTGTAATCACTATTAACAAACAGTGGCATAGGATAACTCTCAGTTTACATCTTGTTCTTTTGGTGAATATTCCTTTGGAAGTTAGTTGGTAAATACTGCCCCTATTTCTTTCATGTGTATGAAAATTTAATGTTATATGAGTGAACTACAACTTTGTTTTTCATTTTTCTAAAGGAAGGCATATAGATTATTTTCAATTGTTTGTTATGACCAACTTTTCAACAAACATTCTTTGCATATCTCCTTGTGCACAGGTGGCCAGATTTCTGTAGGGTTTGTATTAGAAATGGATTTGCTGAGAAATAGCACATTTTGCTAAACTAATGTCAATTTTTTTCAAATTAGGCACAGTTATGTAAGAGTTGCATTTGCATTACTTTGCTGGTTAGTGTCAGATTTAGAGATATATTTTTTAAAAATTTTCTTATTATTGATAAAGTTTTGCATGTCCCTACTATACATTGTCTCTAGAGGCGTATTCTCCCTGAATTTCTTGTTAATACCCTATTCCCATATTTATAGATGCCAAGTGCTAATCTTGGGATCTGTAGGTTTATAGAAATAAACAAAACAAAGCACTGCCCTCATGAAACTTATTTGGTAGCAAGAGACAAATTTAACAAACAGGTAATTTTTGTAGTATGCAAAAGACTAACATCTGCTGTATAAAGACAAAGTACAATGTATGGGGTAGGCAGCAGAAGTCATATAGGTATATAGCTCAAGGTAGAGTCAAGACGATGAGGAGCTTCAGAACGAGAAAAGCCCCTGGGCTGGGGTTGGAGAGACAGAAAGAAGAGATGCAGAGATGAAGCCAGGAAAGTGGATACTCCAGATACTCTATTCTTGCATACATTTGCATATTTTTCCCCTTCACATGATGGTAAGACACATAGTTCAGTCTCTAAATGAGTTCTATCCATTTGGAAATTAAAGCAGCAATTTAAATATTTAAATTCTGAATTGTTCAAAGGCAGTCTTCATCAAGGGATGACTGATAGTTTTTCTCTAGCCATTCAAAAGTGAAATACTATGTGTATTTTTCCTTAGCTGGGAAGTTTATCTTATTACATATTGCCTTAGGTACAGTTTATTTTAAACAAAGTTCAAACAAACATATTAGGACAAACTATTTCAGTGCTGGATTATAATAAATTGGTAGGCATATTATCATTTGCTATAAAAAATGTCCACACCTGAAACAGGGCACCTTGGCCTGAGGGTGAACCCGACTCCCCAGGCCTTGTGCAGTGACGCAGGTCATCCTGAGTCCGGACAGAGTTCCCTTCCAGCTTTGTCCTCACAGGATGGTGCGGGGTCCCCCGCAGTTGCAATTACCAAAGAATAAGGACTGACGAAGTATGTATGTGGGATGCGTGTGGGTAACTGCATCCAACTGGAATAACCATTTTCTTATCGATCATTTTATAACAACGAGAGCAAAAAGGCAAAGAAAAACATGCAAAACATGCAAAACAAACTGCTTTAAAATGACGTCTGTAAAGCTCTGTAAAGTCCACCTCTATAGTTTCATTTATTAGAGAATTAAATCAGAAAATAAAAACAGTGCCCTAGCACATTTCCCCTCAGAGGAACACAGCCTAACAGAAACAGCAATTTTCAGTACTTGTGTAGAAAAATGTTTACCTCTCCAAGAAAATGTCCTCAATTTCCTAGGCTAACTTCACTTCCCCTTCTAGCACATGAAGTTTAACTGGAAATATTAGTGTTTTCTTTCCATTTAATAATATTTCTGCATAAAATTTAAAAGGAGGGTTGCAAAGGAAGTTCGTCTGGTTGGTTCTCTTTGGCATGGGCGAAAACGGCCATCAGCTCGCGCGAGGCGTTAAAGGGTTAACTCCAGAGTTCCAAGCCGCCCCGCCCCACCAGGGCCCCCCGAAGGCGCCTGCTGAACATGTGCTCTCCTGAAGCGAACCCTGAAACTGAATCCCTGAACACGCTCAGCCTTTGGTGCCAGACTTGTACTGTGACTTTCAAACTTCTGCCATGGCCGTTGCAATGTAAATAGGAAATTCTAATGCGATTTGGATCGCCCTTTGGGGACTTTCACGCTGAAAGACGGCGCGTTTCCAGGGCAGCCCGGAGTGCGCGCGGAGCAGCGACCTCTGCAGCCGCAGCAGCAGCAGCCGGCTGCAGACAGGCCGGGACTCTGCAGGCCTTCCCCGGACCAGGGCCTTGGCGGGGACACAGCCATGTGTAGTTCTGAAATATGTCCTCTTGTTAGCGATGTTTTAGATTAAACCATGAACGTGACTCAGTTCCGAGGTGACCGCCTGCACGATCCTGCTGTGGAGGGCGGCTTAAGCAACAGGCCTTTGCGACCTTTAGAAGCCAGCATTTCAGGTCACCGCAGCATCTCGTGCTCTCCTAGCAAACGTGCTCTCCTAGCAAACAGACGTCCTTGGGCTTTCCCCATGAAAAGTCATCCAGTACACAGAAAACCGAGACCGGCAAAATGCAGAAATAAGCGGCTGTGCAAATGCATTCTCACATCGCTCACTAGGGGGCAACAGTTCCCGCCTTTATTGTGAGTGGACCAAGTCTCAAAACACCACAAAAGTAAACGCTGTGATCCCTCAAACTCTTTGTTTTATAGTATGTATATCACAAATATACGGTAATAAGAATAAATTTTTAAATAAATTTCAAAGTGTGTAGACTAAAAGGAAACTTCTGTGGGTTTCTCCTTTCGGCCCACCTTCCACCTTTCTCATTTCACCGTTAAGCTCCGCACATTTTATACACGTGTGACTTAACTAAACATTTCCTTTATGTTTTATTTGTGTGTACATTAAGCTATATGCCACAGATACGTTTCCAGTCTACACATGCCCCTTTTTCCTCAGGTTGTAAAGTATCTTGTTTACTGTCTCTAAAATGATTTAATAAACCCCCATAAGTGATGCTTAGATCATTTTCAGCATTTTGAACAATGCTGTAGTGAATAATTGTTTCTTTCTTTACGCTTTTATCTGCAGGTTAAAATCCCCAGATACGTAATTGCCAGGCTCATTTAAAAATATAATCACCATTGCAAATTATCTGTCCCCAACAGAAAAGATGCCACCAATTTACACAAACACCGGCTGCAGGTGAGACATCAACCATGATGCTCTGTATGTCAAACCTTGCAACAATCCCAATCTATCAAAAAATAATATTATGATAGCGGTTTTTAAAACTTCTGGGACTATACTGACTTCCACTAATGAATTAACTAATTCAGTTTAATATTTTTAAGCTCGTAAAAATTTGTTTTGCAGCACAAATATCAGAAAAGACATTTGTCAAACTGACCTAGCTTCCATGAACAATAAAAAGTTTTGTATCTAAATAAATACTTCTTCCCCCACAATACCTTTATATATTTAAAAAAAGTTTGATTATTTTGAAAACACTAAAAAATCTGCATAGACATTATTATTTCTATCATACAGATGAGACCAAAATCCTTGTACAATTTTCTTTTTTATTGTTATTATGACGTGATATTAATTTTTAAAATTTCAGAACAGAATCTTCAAGTTTCTAAATTTTATTTATCATTCTAAGCCTGTTTCTTTTTGGAGATAATCACAATTTTCCTGTTCTTTTTTTTCCATGCTAAACTATAGCACCCACACTTTCCTCTCTGATTTTAGCAAAAAAAAACAAGATGCCTAGAAATGAAATGTCAAGAATATTTCCCATTTTTATTGCTGAGTTAAATACTTAAACTAGCAGGTTGAAAATAATTATAATAAAAGTTGGTTACTTCTTTTGTCCATTTTCTTTTGAGGAAGAGATGACTACTTTGTGTGTGTGTGGTAGGCAGGTATTTCCCGAATGACTGACAAGCACTCCACCAAAGGGCACCAGTCCACTTTAGAACACGGCCAAGCAGGCAGTCGCCTGGCAGGTCGCCGCTTCTTCCTCGCACCACCCACGTTTGGTTTTGCCCCAGCAATTTCCCCAGGAAGGGAAATACCCTGAACTTCTGTTGGTTGAACTAACAGGTGCAGTGAGTGCGCGTAACACAGGAAATTTTAAAGAAAGCGTCTCTCCTGGGGATACTTTAGGGAACGATGCGCAGATGCGTTTTCAAGCGCAGAATACTTCATGGGTGATTTCTACGCTAACGAACTTGGACCAGCTTTCGCTTGGTGTAAGAGCAAAACCACGAATAATAAGGTGCAGTTCGGTATAGTAAAGTATCCCTGTTTCTTTTAATATAATGGCTTATTTATTTTTCTGCGGACAAACTGTCATTTTGTTTCGTGACCGCCCATACAATCAAGCTTTAGGAGAAAATGCTTTAAACGTGTTGTAGCAGTGTTTTGGGCAGCTTCGTTCATCTCTGGCAGGTGCTAACTGGGAAAAGCAACCCTTCTCCGTGTCCTCTACCACAAAAGGTAATCGGTGGGATTCACTTGATTCAGTAATCACTTATTTTGAATTTTAGGTTGTCCTTTGTAAGTTTCACTTTTCATTATTAACTGATGTATATGAAGTGCAGAGATGAAATGAGGCGGGATTATTATTGGATACCTATATCTGAACTTTAAAAAATATGGTACTTCCGGAAAAGAACATACATATGGCAGGATAAATGAATTAGGTATGTATTCAGATAGTTTTTGTTTGTGAGAAATGAGTCATGTATATGGAATGAATTCCTAAATCTACTTTAAAAAAATTAATCAAACAATAAAAATGTGTTGATAGAAATCAGAAAGGGGAGATTTGTGCAGATAAATTTGAATGTATTCCTGCCTTGTGCTATAACTTTCTGTGTTGAAAAATGTGGTTTGAGATTATAAGGTTCCAGCTGTGCAATAATTTCTTATCAGTAGTGTAAAATGACCTTTGGACTAAATACTGAAAGACTGTACATTTTCCGTAAGACATATTGTGCATAAAATTCTGTATTTCACATTGGATAGGTAACAATTTTACAGAGGGTCAAATGGGTTTAAACATGACTAAAACTTGTATATTTCCTAGTGGTTGAAATGTTTATGGCCAGAAGCCTAGAAACAATGTCAATTCATTTCTCAGACTCTGTAGCAGTGCACACACAGAGCAAGGTTGGGGAGGTAAAGAGAAAAGCTGATTTGTTGTTTTCTAGTTCACCTTGATCACGTGGATTTTCGAGGGTTATCCTGTCATCGGGATGAATGGCGCTGTCAGTCCATGTCCTTACAGTTCCCGGGCCTCATGACAGCGCAGTAGAAAGAGCAGTTTTCCCTCGTGTCTTCTGTGTCCATGGAGATGTCACACACACACAGCTTTCTATCCTCAAGACCACTGATTTTTGTTTCTGTTTTTGTTTGCATGTTTGTTTTTAGCCCATAGGTTTTTACGGTTTTAAATGAATCAAATTCTGGTTAATGAACACTCTCAAATGAAAAGTTTATTATATTTTATTCTGTGGTCACCATGTGAAAGTTTCTACTTTAAAAAAAACAATTAACTTTGTTCCAATGTAGAGAAAGGGGCTGTATGTTTCCAATGCCCAAATATGTCTATCTCCATAATATAGTACAGCTGATTACCACAATAATTCTAAAGGAAAAAATCAGACTAGTTATGATAAATAAAAAAGCAGATGAGTAATTGACTTGTTTCATATTTCTGTCAGTACTTTTGAAATATTTTTCCGCTGGTGCTTTTGATAGCACGTTCCTAAAGTTCCAGTAAGAGGTGCACCAGTGCGTTGGCACCCTTAGATGCGTCTGTATCCTCCTTGTATCCTTGGGTGATGCAGGTGCCCGTAACACCCTCAGGTGCATGGGAACGTTACTTTCTCTGAAGTTGTATTCTCCAGAGGCTCACAGAAATATTTGAATGTTTCTAAACAGCCTGTTTGTGCCAAGATTTAAAGCCTGTGGATTTCACAAGAGCTTACACTTTGGCAAAATATTAAAAAGAGAAATGTCTGTGGTGTTTCTGGGATATATCATATTTTGCTGGAAACATTGAATTACAAAGCCCTCTCGGAAGAATTCTCCAAAAGGCTTACTTGCTATTTGTGTGTAAAAGCGAATTTCTTTTCTAATACAAATTTCAAAAGTTTTATTTTACAAGTCCAGTACTTTTATGGAGACATCAAGAGCAATAATTGTCTCATGTTCTGCATTGGTAACAGCTTTTATCCTTTCCCATATCTGAAAGCAAAAAATAAGTAATAAATATAATCTGTAATATGAAGATCAGTGTTATCCATTATCAATAGCAAATATTTTCAACATTTACTTTTGATTTTGAGAGCTGAATTTTATGAGCTGTGTTTAAAAATACTAAGTGCATTTTAGTTTCTGCTTCCATTTTCTAGTTGAAACTCAGTGGGAACAGTAAAGTTGGTATTATATACCAAGAACAATAATGACCCATTATTATCTCAATTTCCAAGTCTTTCTTCTCCTCAATTGTGGATCCATCCACATTGCTTCAATTCATTTCAAGCAACATTTAATAGCATCACTGTAACTCATGACATGATGCGTTTTAACATCCTCATAAAATTCCTCTTTGCTGGTTGTGCTTGGCCTGGCTCTAGCCCTGCTCTAACCCTTCCTTCACTTGCCAAAATTATTTATCTTTTCTGAGACGAGTCCTTTTTCTTTTTCTCCGTTTTAGCAGCCTTGGACTCCCACTTCTCTTGCTCTGAATTTTGCAAGTAAACCTATTAAGAGAATATAATGTGCTATTGTGAATTGATTGCAGTAAGGAAATTAAGACACATTGTCCATGTCACTGGATAGTTCTCTACCTTTTGTTTCATTCACAATCTTGGAAGAACTTTGTTGACTGTAACTGTTCAGTTAATAAGCTCTCAAAATGAACCTACATATTCATCAAGCTATCTGAAACCATAGCAAACTTTGTCCATATTTTATTAAACTTAATTAAGTAATGAGGTCTTTTGTCATTAGGCTCAACTTAATCTTCCAAGGAAAACCCATTGCACTTTACAGTTCCTGAGATGCCAAGCATTCATTTCTTTGCGGTGTTGAAGGTAATTTGATTTATGTCTTGTTCTAGTTAAGATGCTCCAGGCTTCAAATATTTTTTGACTAGGAGTTAGAGGTGGAGGCCAAGTTAACAACAGTAATCTGTCTCCTCTCTGTTTGCAGAAAAATGAATCACCATTTGGATTTTAAGACTGGTAAGTTTTGACTCCGCCACTTTGTTCAAAGGTTGTCAGCTAAATGTATGAAAGTGGCCTATGTCTTTTTAAAACCTCTAGTCAGAGATGTCAAGGAGTCTAACAGGGCCACCAATGTAGTTGTGAATAATTGGTAAGAAGGAGGTGTGGTTAAGAAGCATTCATTCTGTGTCTGATTTAGCCTGGATTGATTTGATCTAGGCTTAATAATATTAAAAGCTCCCCCAGTCATTCCCAGGACATAAATGAAAATGCTTTCAAATTATTAAGGAAGAATGTGACTTATTCAGGACAACATGAAAGGAGCAAGTGATAAAATGAAGTACTTCATTTCAATCCTTTACTTTGGACCGAGTAAACTGCCACTAGGAAAGGAAAGAGCTTCACAGAGAGTTGTAATATTTTATTAGTAATTGAATTGGAGTTTGTTTTGGAGAGTTGGCAGTTAAAGTAGCTGAATTTAAGATGAGCAACTCATAAAAGTCAGAGGCCGGTTTTCTTCAAGCATCTTGTCCTTATTCTTAAGAAATTCAATAAAGTAGTGACTGAAGTAAAGAAACTTCTGAGATATGGTAAACTAGGGTCTGTTTCAAACATCCTTAGTGCCTGCCACACAATACTTGAATTAGTACTTGGCAATTGAGCAGATGTGTCTAAATGGAGGTTTTTGTGTGAAAATTTATATTGCTATTTAAAAGACAAGCATTAAGAAAAAGACATTTGTTTTCACAAGCCATAACATAAAGAGCAATAATTTTACAACTTGAACTGACAAGAATTTACTTACACTCCCACCAATACTTGATTTTAATGTATCATGCAAAGTAACAATTTCCGTTCTTGTGAGTCTGCTTGTGTTACCTCTTTATCTACAGTGAAAAGGGAAAAAAGTTAAGGATGGCTAAACATACGTGTTTTTGAAGTAAGTATTGGAACAGGTCACTCATATAGAAGCTTTATTAATATATTAGAATATCACATGTTAATGTTCATTGACCTTGATACAAATAAACTATTTTTATTAAGTGAAACTATTTTTGTTTCACTTGGACTATAGGATTTTAATCAAAGTACAAGTGTTTCTCTTCCAGTAGCAAATGCAAAAAAACAAAAAACCAGTTACCATTGGTTATGTTGCTTTTACTTCCTGTTTTATATCAATGTCACGTTGTATGTCCATTTAAGGATGCATTTGAGTAGAAGCACACAGTTTGCAGTATTTTAGATTCAAGGGCTTCTTGCCTGTCTGTAAGCAGCCCTCTACACATCTAATCGCGCTGTGACGCATCACATGGTCTGTGCATTTTCAGTAGGTAATGTTGATAACTTTCATTATAATTCCAAAGGCACACTCTTGCCTTAAATACAGTAGATGTGATCGCCAACTCAGAATATAACCATGGTTATCCTTTTTCTTGTGTATTTAAATTCTGTTGATCTGAAGGAAAGAAGTTATTAGTGACACATCTCAAATTTAATTTTTTTCATAGAAGATCAAATAATCATCAGATTTAATGTAATTTAGCAGTTACTATGATTTTGAATACAGCATAGTCAGCTTATTAAATACTCGCATAAATAAAGTGTGAGATTCCCTTGTTAGAAAAGCCTTCCTGATCATTTTCAAATGCTAATTATTTGAAATTAAAATTAATGGAGCTATAGAAATGGCAACATTCTACGTAGGCCAACGTAGAGGAGATAGCTCTCCCAGGTTAATAGCTCCGGGCCCTCGATGCGGACCTCCTCTCACTACAGTAACTCTGTGGAATGGTTAGGACGGGAACTGCAGACCTTTCCGAAAGGACCCATAAACCTGTGCGGCTCATCCACACTCCCTCACTAATATAGTCTCTTCTAGGGAGCAGTACAGCACCATCATTTTCACAAAGTTGTTCTGAGCGAATGACCTGATGATGATTTTCTTCTACAAAATGCAAACAATGATAGTTGTTTCCTCAGAGCTGATTTGTTGATCAAATGAGATAATACAGATGAAGGGCTGAGAACACTATCTGGGCTGTAGTATGTAATCAGAAAATGTACGCTCTTTCTGTGTGACCCTCCCTTCAAGTCTCTGCGGGATTCAGTTTTGGAACCTGGTATCTGAATGTCAGGCTCCTGTTTTGTTCTCACTGTCTTCTCTTCCACTCTTTTCCTCCCCCCTTTTTGCACATCCTTGAAGAATAGACTCCTAACCAGAGATATTTTAAATGTGTTTTTATCTTCTCGTTTTATCTTCTATTGGCTGACCTCCTAAAAAGAGACAAAATTTTAAAATAGATAGGGATACATTAATCCTTGATTTTCTGAGTGGATGTGTCTGCTGTGAATATTAATATAATTTGTCTGCAACATATGAAAATGTCATTTTCTAAGGTTTAGCTATTGCTTGGCTCTTGTGTGGAACACTAATGAGGAAGAATGATGTTGTTATTTATTAGTGTTACACACTTGGAAAGCAGTGACCACCAAGTTCCCGAAAAGGAAGCAACTGTCCTCAATGCCCCAGGCATGTGCTGTCTTTTATGAAAAGGAATATTATCACTTTGAATTCGGCAAGAAAACACTCTGCACATTGCTCACTCATTGTTGACTCTGTACTCAGAAAGCAAGTGCGAAGGGAATTAAGCAAGAAAGTTTGCCCTCATTGTTTGCCTGCCTTAGGAAGGTGCCTCTTCCCCCAGGCAGGCTCATGTTGCTTCCGAGCCCTGAGCCTGCAGAGCATAGGTGCTCCACAGCTCTCAGGGCCTTGGCCTGGTCCTGAGCTGTCTGCCTGCAGTGCAGGCTCCAGCTCCTCAGCTACGCTGCTGAGTTCTGCCATCAAAACCATAAAAATATCAGCCTTCTAGTTCCTATTATTCACTTGCTGTCACATTCTGCAGCCAATATTTTAACATCTTTTATATTTACTTTAATTAGGATCTTTGGTGATTTTGAAAAAGAGAAGCTATGTAACAAAAACAAATGATACAAACAAATGATGGGATTAACATTTGGGGACACACGGAGTCCTCCCCCTGGTCTCTCATACAGTCTGTCATCCAGAATGTTCCATTCCACCTCATCAAGGTCTTTCTGTAAAGCACCAGGTTTCCTTCCCCGTCAAGAGACCTAGCTTGAGTTTTGAATATCCCTTGCTCGGATGCCTGCGAGATTCCCCACAGGACCCTGACTCCCAATCCGATATCCATACTAATACGGGGCTAAAATTCACCCTTTCAGCATGATACAAAAGCTGTTAACTTTTAAGGGGCAGTTTGACTTTCCAGAATCAAAGTTGTCCCTAAATTCTCTTCTCGGACCATAAAAAGTGTAAGAATCACTTAATTTACTCACATTGTCTCTTCAGACTGGCACATTCTATTCACGCTTTCATCTCCAAACTTAACTAAATGTCCTTTTAAGGACATATACATTCCCTCCTGCTGGAGGTCACCTTTTCCAGATGACTTAGGTCTTTTATATGCCTCTGTTATTATCGTTAGTCATCTTTCGGCATCAATTTTTCATATATCTTATAATAAGTCTGTTGAGTAGTATTTGAAGGCAGACTTCAAGCACTTTTAATTTTTTATCATCAGTTTCAAGCACAGGACCCTAAGTAAATATTAGTAAATGTTGAAAAATTATTTTTATAATGATTGATTACACTGTAACATGCAAGCGTATCTGTAATACAGTGTTCTGTTTATGTAAGATCAGCCTTTCACACAGTTATATGTGTAATCTGGACTTGAGGAATTATCTTCCTTCTTAAGCTGCATGCATCAACCGAGCACTGTCTGTGTTCTGGTTTCCACGTGAGGTTTCAGGATATTGAGAAGAGCAGGACATTGCCTCCTCCCTGTAAGTGTTCTACATTTTAATTCGAGAAAAAGAGTGAAGCTTTAATACTATAACTGGTGCCACTGCTTTAACAGGACTCCCCTTCTGTGATTGTAAATGACCTATTATGTTGTCCATGGACTAAAGGACAGGATAAAATAGCCCTGGAGGGTGAGCAGTCATCTCCACTGTGTGCCCCGACCCACAGCAAATGCATGAGCCATTGGTAAAAGCTCCCAATTGTGTTTTAGTGGTTCCTGGAGAATGGTAGCCAATGTCGAGAAATAAAAGGCCATTGACCTGAACATTTAAACCTCTACATTTTTGTAGTTTTAGATCGACTACCAACTGTACATTCTATGATCGACTCTGATCTTAATTCAGTGACTTAATCTACCAAATATCTTGTCTCTACATTAAAGGCCCTGGACTAGACTCTAGATCAATGATTCTAAAAAAGGAGCTTATAATGGGCTGCTGTATATTTTAAATATATAAAACATATATTTTATAATTACATATAAAATTTGTAATTTCATTATATATTACAGTTTTTATGATATGTAATAATCTGTATAAATTATATATACATACATATGCATATGATATATTACCATACATATGTAGTTTCCACAGAATGGTCTCTGAATCATAATCTTCAGGGTGAGTCCAGACCATCTGTTTAAGCCAAAATCTCAGCAATAATTACAAGAAACTGACTTGAGTTATATTATCAATGATTTCATGATCATATCACAGAAATACGGTGATTGTATCATAGAAATCAGAAGTTTCTGGACCTCTGTGGTTCTGTAATGTATTTTGGTAGCCTCTACCCTGTAGGATCCAGGGAAACTCTCAGCTCACCCTAGTCTCTCTCCTTTAACAGGCCTAGAGAACCAGAAACATTGTTTCAAGAAACAATCAAATCAGCAGCTGACATCATAGGTCTTCCTGAAAGAGAGGAAAGAGATGCAGAGCAAAGATAAGACCCAAAAAATGACTAAATGCTGGAGACCTGGTAATCATAGCTCTGACCAAAGCAATCTGCAGCTCCTTGAACTTGGAGAGAGACCCAGTCATTCTGATGCCTGACTCCCATATATTTACTCTCTGAATGAGGTACAAAGATCCGGGTGAGCTAATGCATCAAGCCATGAAAAATGAACAATTAAAACAATGAAGTTGTCAGTTCTTTTACCAGATTGCAAATAAATAACCTTCCTGTCAGGCTGGCTGTTCTGCTGGATCATTAGTTTAATACAAAGACATTCTGAGGAGGGATGGATGACAGCTGATCTATGACTCCAGTGGGTCCAGGGTTTTTGATGAAGACCTGAGCAAAAGATGTTGCCATAAACCGTGAAAGGTCAGTCCCAATTTGTGAAAAGTACAATGTTAGACAAAATTTAAATACACCTCTTTGCCAACTAGGAAAGCTGTACTTTTAAAAAACTTAATTATTGTGTGTGATGGGGGATGCTTCTTTTAACAATCCCAAACACTTTTCTTTCTGCTTCTGCTTATTTGGCCTGTCAGGAACACTTGTGCTAGTGTAGATGCCCGTGGAGTCTGTAAGTACCACCAAGAAGGGACTGAGTCTTGGGACTGTACAATAATCTTCTTGCCAGGCCAGACAGAGTCATCCTGAAAATATTACTGTATGCCATGCCAAACAGTAACAGTCATGATTAAACAAACAAAAGTCAAATACTTACATCTTACCGTACAGGTATAGATCTGTTTTGTAAATATCATCTTATAAAATATTTGCTACCCAGAAAAACCATTCAAAGTCCATAGATAAATATTTAAGGATAAATTCTATTCTCTAATTTGTTATATCTATTTTAATTAAATTTTATGGAAAAAATAAGCATTGCCTTTCAGGAGTCTCCTTGAAAGATAATTGTATTTCTAGACATTGTACCTGTTGAGATTTATATCTATAGGCGCCCCTCCTAAAGCCTCATGCACTCACAAGCAAGGCTTTGGGAAGGTGATTAGGTTACGGGACTTATAAATTATTTGCTATTAGAAAGTGGGGTGGAGTCAGAAGAGGCAAGTAGCCGTGGTGTGAGCAGGTGTCATCTCCTGCCAGCTCTTCCTACACCACTGCTCCTCTGTTCACCCCACTTGGCTTCCCGACTGCCCTGCCAAGAGCAGCTTTGTTCTGTCATGCTCTGTGTCGTACTGCCCTGCCTTGGCACCAGCCAGCCAGGGACTGAGACATGAGCCTTCATAAACCATCCAGTCTTTAAGTTGGGAGTGCCTGGTATTGTGCCTCAGTGGAGAAGAAGGTGACCAAAGCAGGATCCTACAGAGTAGCTTAGGTGAGGTACAGATTTTGTGAAGCTGTTAGGACTAACAAACTTGTGTCTTTACTGACTGTCTCATTTTGATCTTAGCAAAGCTGACTCTTCAATTATAAAAAAAATCAGTCAATTACCTGGAATCAATGAACCAATTCCTCAATCGAAAACAGCTACTATTCATTCATTCTGATATTTTTATTGCATTCACTGGTGAATGGGAAAAAATGAAGCTTTCTTGTGGAGAAATCTGTAAAGTACTAACAAAATTTTTGTGGATATTTGATCGCCCACAATGATCTTTTTTTTTTAAATAATTTTTATTTATTTAAGGAGAAAAAGAAAAAAAAAACAGAAAAAGGGTACAAGTAATCCAAAATTTAAAAAATAAACAGTAAGAAATCACTAGTTAATAGATTACATTCTCATCTTAGAAATAGTTGTTCAAGTTACAAAATTGAAGCATATAAAGTGGACTTTCAAACAGTGAGAGCACAAACAGTTTTGTTCAATGATCCAAAAAACACTCAGTAATATGGTTATCTATCTTATACACTTAAATATATATGCAGTTATAACCTTTAGCGCACTTTCTTTTCTTTTGTACAATGACAATTACACATTTTGGGTCTTATCACTCCCACAGTTCTTATTACTTTTTTTGAAGAGAGTAAAACCAAATGTGACATATCAGAACAGAGTCAGTCAAATCAAAAGGATTGACATAATAGATAATGTAAAAACAAAATATAAGGTGATCAACAATGGTTACCATACTGCCTCTTGCTATTTTAAGAAGAATTGCCAGTTATAATAAAATTGAACTAAACAGTAAAGAATAAAACCAAAGCATTGGAGACATTACAAGACTTTAAAAGAAAATAATAGTCAACTGGAATGGGCATCATAATGAATCTTATTGTCTTCACAGTTGTTGCCTATACTTTCGAACTTGGTACTATCAAGCAAAGCAGAATAGAGGAAAATCAGTCAAAACAAGATTGCGAGGGCAATACAGGATTTCAAATCAAGCTAATAGAAAATCAAAGTAGGTTACTACAATGTATCCTGCTATTTTTTATTTATTTTCCCTTAATTAAAAAGATAAAGAGAAAAAAGTACATAATTTAAAAAGGGGGGATGGAGATAAAAGAGGGCATAACAACAGAACAGCGCAGGCCAAATCATAACCATTTGAGCAAAATAGTGTTTCACCACAAGATATCCTGACATAAAAATAGTTACCATAGTGTCTCTTTCCTTGAAATCTTTGAGTATAACTCCGTATACTACAGCACCAAGCATATCAAAACACTATAAAACCATTCAAGAGAATGTCAGTATTACAAGGTTCAGAACCAGCTAACAGAAAATGAACAATGGTTTCGGTATAATCTCCTTGTCTATAAATGTTTTTGCTTATATTACCACATATAATAAAATCCAATAAGATACAACCTTTTAAGACCAATGGAGACAGAAGAATACAAATTTGATGGGACTTCAAAACAAGATGATACTAAATCAGCACTAGCTATTATGATGTCTTGTTTTCTCCAAAATAGCTGTTCCTACCATCCGATCTTCTCTGCCTCATTTCTGTTGAGCTCTTTTTCTGTCATTTGTTGTCAGTTTGTCTTCTTCATTTCATTTTCTGCTCCATTCATTGTGGCCTCTCTGCCACTATTTCTGGAATCTTGGTATTTTCCTTTTTTAGACTATCCTGCAGTATTCTCTGTAGAGTTAAATTGGTGGTTGCAAATTCCCCTAGTTCCTTTTCATCCTGGAAGCACCTTGTTTTTCCATCAATTTCTAGGGACAGTTGTGCAGGATATATCAATCTTGGCTGGAGGTTATTATCTTTCAAAGCTTGAATTATTTCCCCCCACGCTCTTCATGATTTGATGGTTTGTCTGCTGTAATTCTGATGGGTGTTCCCTTGTAAGTGATCTGTTTCTTGTCTCTGATGGCTTTTAATATTCTGTTCTTGTATTGGATTTCTGGAATTTTGATTATTATATGCCTGGGTGTAGCTCTGTTTGGGTTGTAGGTGGCTGGGGTCCTGTATGCCTCATACATCTGAGTATCTTTACCTTTTGCTAAATTAGGGAAATTCTCTTGGATTATTTCTGTGAATAGCTTTTGTAGTCCATTTGTTTGTGTCCCTACTTCTTCTTTTATGTTCTTAATTCTTAAGTTAGAGATCCTCTTATCATCTTCTATCCTTTGTATTGTTGCTGTTTGTTTTTTTGTTATTTTTAAGAAGTTTTTCATTTCATGCTCCCATATTACAAATCTGCCCTCCAGTTCAGATAATCTATCCTTAGTTTCTTTCAAGCTGTTATGCCAGTTTTCGATAGAGTTTTTAGTTTCCTGGTAATCTCTTTGAACCTGCTTCACGTATTCTATGTTTTCTTTATTTTCTCCATCAAACAATTCTCCCCTTTTTTTCTGTTCTTCCATTCCACCATCTGTTTTTTCTTGGGTGGTGCTTAGCATTTCTCTAACTATTCTGCTTCTGTCTTGCTTTAGGTCATTAATAACTTCATTCCTAAACTTGTCTATGAGGCTCTGGAGACAGCACTTTATGTCTATTGGTGTCATGTCAGCTCTTGCATGTTTCTCAGGTTTGGGGGCCAAGGACCCTTTCTTGTTGCTCCCTCTTCCCATATTCTTTGTTCCTTATATACAAGCATATATAGGAGGCTCAGCTTCCTTCCCTGTTGGCCACAGTCTGTTTGAATTGCATCAGCTAGGTGTTCCTGCCCACCACAGTGCACCAGGGAGATATGGACCGGGCAGCGTATGCTGGGCCCACCCCTCCAGGTCAACCTACCGGAGGCTTCACCATTAGGCGCATCTCCAGGCCGCTGGGACCTGGTTTGGGCTAGCCTACTGGGTCTCAGCCAGCGGCATCACGCAGGCCAAGCACTCCCCACCAATCCCACTTGAGAGGGGGATATGTGACTAAAGTCACTGCAGCTTCTCGTTCCGGGAAGTCTGCCTGGTCCGAGTATGTCCTCTGCTGAAGCCTCCTTCTCTATGGAAGGGTCGCTGATCCGCTCACTCACCGCAGGTCAATGCAGGGCACCCAGCCAGTCCCGCTCCCAACCTCCATTCAGTGCTTCCCACTCTCAGAGCTTTTGCATCTCTCTCCCCGCCGTGCGGACTGGGATGCAGCAGTGGCTGCAGGAAACGCAAATCGCAGCTTCCAGTGGTGCAGGGTCCAGCTTCTGCGCTGAGACCTTATGTGTTCCTGCTGTACCACCGGGATTGTATTTCCAGTTGGTTTCTCTTAATTTAGTTTGTTCCTGGGTCGGCAAAGAATATCCCCCCTTGCCTAGGACTTCCTGCCTGGCACCATTCCTGGATTTCAAGTGCGGTTTCTCAGAGAGCCTCCGAAGCTGCTGCTATCTATCCACCATGTTCTCCCGGAAGTCGCCCACAATGATCTTAATAGGCAGAGGCATTAGCTATATTAATTTAAGTAGTATTGAGAAGCTCCCACAGTGACCTGAAAGAATAAAAAATGAACAAGAAAAATTTAAGGCAAAGTTTTTAGGCTAATTTTTCCACCTCGAATGTTCAACCACAAGTTTGTTGCTTATGTACATTTGTGGTCTGTGTCAAGATTAAATGTTAACATGTCACACCATCTAAGAAGTCCTGACATGCTGAGAAATGTCAGCACTCATTTTGAGAACATCTTGGTTTTTGCTGCTACTGTTTGTTGTTTTGTTCTTTTTGTGTTGTGCTGATTCTGCCACTCATTGTCCATGTCATTTAGTCAAGTGATTTAACATCTGGTTATCTTACAATGTGTGCAGAAACATCTGTTAAAAGGAGGCTTGAGACAGGAACACTATTCTTTTTTTTTTTTTTTTTTTTGTCTTTTTCATTTTTATCAGTACCGGGGATCGAACTCACGACTGCCTGCTTGCAAGGCAGGTGCTTATGCAGCTGAGCTAAACTCCCAGCCCCTCAAACACTATTCTTTATATCCTGGAAGACTAAAGTTTTTTGACTAAGGACCATAAGAACTGAGAAGATAATGCAGCTCATGGTCTAGAAATACCTCCTATGATCGACCATGAGTTTAGGCAGTTGGGCATATTTTATTTTTTCAATGCACAAATTTTTTCCTACCTCTGTCTTTACATTTCTGTGAAATCCCAATCTGTTTCCCCTTTCTTTTTGATTCCTAATTTTCTTGGAAGACTCTTAAGTCATTCACATTATGAAATTGTTTTCAAACTTCTGTAGATCTATAGTAGAGCAAAAATTAAACAGAAAACCTAGAAACCAACAACAGAAAGATAACATAACAGTGATAAGTCAGTAC